CACGTGGAGTCCGTCGTAGGTTGATTTGATGTACATCCCCTGATGGAGGGAAGACCATAAAACACTCGTTATTAATAATAAATAATAATAATACATTTTATTTTTAAAAATCACCTTCCGTTGAAACATAAGAAAACATGAAAAGTCGAAAAGGTAACATATGTATTCAGAGGTAAAGCACAGAAATTTGAAGAAGAATGGACCCCATTAATGGACTTTTATTTGTAAGGCTATTGAGTGTAATAGTTTTATTTATTTGTTTTGTTTTGTTTATTCATTTTATTTTATATTGTAATTATTTTGATTTCAAACAAATCCAACAAAAGATTAAATAAATTGGTTTGAAATGAAGTTCTAAGCTTTTTCTCTCGTTTTCAGTCCAGTTTTTCTTTGTTCGGCCTCTTAACTCTGAGTTCTGAATCATTCAGGCAGAAAAAAGGCACATAACTCAAGGGATGAGCCAGTGTTGTGTCCACACAGAACTACCTGAAGCTCTTTTGGGGTTTTTCTCTGCATGTCTTGTGAGTTTTTCCTCTATTTTTCGGTACAGTTTTTTTTTTTGCAAAGCCATTTAACTCTGAGCCCCTAACTCAAGGGGTGAGCCATGAGTTACCCCAAGCTAGCTTTAAGCTTTTGGCACATTAAAGAGGACACTGAAGTTTTTTTTAGAGCCTTATATTAGCATAAAGTGTTCTTAAAGGTTTGATTAAAAACAAATCTGCTGCTCTTACTATTCAGATGTGAGTCACTGAGCAATTCTGTTGTTTTTTTAACGACTTTGGAGTGAAATGGAAGATGTGTCAATCATCCGTTATTCAAATTAGCTCCTGCGTTCGGATTGTTTGAGTCACTCAAATGAGCAACGCTGTGTTTTCCTGGATGCTAAAAATGTCTCCTCACGCTCTCATATCTGAGTGTAAACAGGATCGGGTTTTCTCTTTCTAGTCCAGTGATTTTCATCCTATTTCACCTAATTGGTCTAAAAATATTTTTTGATAAGGAATTAATTTTCTGCTAATAATATGCCATTTTTGAGTGTCTGTGCTGTTTATAGTGACTGGATGGTAATCATGTAATAATTCCTTATGACTAGATTTTGTATATAATTTTGCATATTGAAGTGGACATGTTAAGAGCAATTTGAAAGAAGAAATATAAAAAAATATGATAAAAATACATTTTTGTGTTTATTTGATTCCTATTCAAGACACTTAAGTCAGGTCAAGTAGGCTTTATTGTCAATTTCTTTACATGCGTTGGTCATACAAAGAATTGAAATTTCATTTCTTGCTCTCCCGTGCAGACATAGACATAAATTAGATAAGTTAGATAAATTAGACATATAATAAGAATAAAATGAAAGAAAGAAAGAAAGAAAGAAAGAAAGAAAGAAAGAAAGAAAGAAAGGAAGGAAGCAAGTAAGGAAGGAAGGAAGGAAGGAAGGAAGAAAGAAAAAAGGAAAAAAGAAAGAAAGAAAGAAAGAAAGAAAGGAAGGAAGGAAGATAAAAAGAAAGAAAGAAAGAAAGAAAGAAAGTAAGTAAGTAAGTAAGGAAGGAAGGAAGTAAGGAAGTAAGAAAAAAAGAAAAAAAAGAAAGAAAGTAAGGAAGGAAGGAAAGAAGAAAGGAAGATAGAAAAAAGGAAAAAGAAAGAAAGAAAGAAAGAAAGTAAGTAAGTAAGTAAGTAAGTAAGGAAGGAAGTAAGGAAGGAAGGAAGGAAGGAAGGAAGGAAGGAAGGAAGGAAGGAAGGAAGGAAGGAAGAAAGAAAAAAGGAAAAAAGAAAGAAAGAAAGAAAGAAAGAAAGTAAGTAAGTAAGTAAGGAAGGAAGGAAAGAATGAAGGAAGGAAAAAAGAAAGAAACAAAGTAAATAAATAAATATGATA